CCCCAGCATCCCCCTTGCCTGGGCCGGCCTTGGGACTCCAGAGAAAAGTCAGTTACAGGCTCTGTGCTCACTCTCCACAGCCCCCCTACCCCTGGGAGCACAAGCTGGGGGGCTCCAGCCCCAGGCCCTGCTTTCCAGTGCTTGCTTTCCCCCCTCCCCCTTGCCCCGGGGTGCCTGGGGGCGTGGGGGGGGGGGGTCTGCAGCTGTCTCGCCCCCTCCTGCCAGCCCACTCCCTGGGTCTAGGGTTTCATCTATGGCCAGGCTTTGCTGGCCGTTAGCCCCGGGATCTTGTTTCCTCCTCCAGCTCCCAGCTGCATTTGCAGCCCCCCAGCCTGGAAGGCAGCTCTCTGGCATGGCCTGCCCCAAACTGGCCTGAGAGGAGGGGGGCTGGCAGGCACTGTGGGCAGGACCTGAGCCAGGGGCAGCTGGAAGGGGATCCCTCAGTCCTGCCTGCTGCTTTAATGGTGCTGAGGTCCAAGCTCCCAAGGGATCTAGCTTGCAGCTGCCCTTGTGTGGGGCTCAGCTCAGTCATGGGGAGCCTGGCAGCTAGCAGAGCCATCCTGGGGACCCCTTCTCATCACAGCCCCTGGCAGGCATGCTAGGGGGAGCCCAGCCCCATGGGGAATGCTTGTAGCCTCCATCCCCAGCCCGGCTCCCCTCTCTGCTAGGACGAGCCCCCCAGTCCAGCACAGCAAACAGACAGCCCCCAGCAGGTGTGAAACCTGCCGGTCCCGGCAGCCTGCCTGCCCGGGAAAGATCCCAGCTGTCCGATAATGTGCCAGAACCAATGCATTTAGCACAGCCCTGAATGGGACATTCACATGCCAGAGGGCAAACAGCCGAAGCTGCCCGTGGGGCACTGCCCTGCCCCGGCCCCGACCAGTGGTAAACACCAGGGGTGCATGGGAAGGGGGTTGAGCTGGGGACTGTGCCCAGGTTGCTCCCACCTCACCCCAGGTTGGAATCTCCCTGCTGGGGGGCAAGATGGAGGGCAGTCAATGCCCTTTGCCTGGTGTGGTTTGCATGACTCTTGCTTGCGTGCTGCCCTTTCCCTGGAAAACAGGGCCATGGTCAGTTTCAAAGGGTGAGGTAGAGGTGGTTTTGTTGAAAGATTTATTGGCTTCTTGCACACCGGGTAACAAATCCCACTTTCAGGACAACAGTTTGGTTAGTCCTTAATGCCAAGTGGGGGGACACAAGGGGATGGGGTGAGCAGGGACCTGCCACCCCCTTGCCACAGCCTTGTTTGATACCCCCCTTGTTCACTGAGTGCCCCATGGGTGCAGGCAGTGCCTTTTCCGTACAACCCAACACACACCAGCTCAGCCCAGTGATATTTTCAGGGTCCTAGCAGTGCCCAGCACTGGACCCACCTGTCTGTCCCAGCACAGGGGGCTGGTCCTTACCCTATCCCCAGGCATTCCCCAGAGCCACAGCAGTGGGTGCTACTAGGCTGTGCTTGAGCCTGGGACAGGGCAGCCAGGGCCAGGGCTGGGCAGAGAGGCATCCCAGGGCGTCCTGCAGCCCCACAACAACTGGAGGCATTTTTTATTGTTTAACATTCCTGGTATTTTCTGTCAGGGCTGAACCAATTGTCCTTAATCCACCAGGCTCTGCTGGCCAAACAAGTGGGGCTGAGCCACCGGCATCCTGTCCCCACGAACAGGCCCCTTTTGTGAGGGGGATTTAGCATGTAGCCCAGTAAATCCTGCTGGTTTCCTGAGGCAGTGTTCCCACACACCACACACTCCCATCCCCCCTGCCCGCCCCCCTCGGGTCCTGGCATCACTCCCCAGCCCAGTCATGCCTGGGGGCACCCTGCCTGCCCTGGCTCCAGGACCAAGTACCCACTGCCGGCTAAAACCTGCCTGCTCAAGGTCTGCACGTTCTCCCTGCACGTTTCTAGGGTGTGTCTGTGGATCTCCGTGGGATGTGGACTCTCAGTGGGGCCGAGTAGCTTCCCAGACACCTCCCTGCACTGCTGGTCCTGGGGGGATTGCTATGTGCCTGAGGGGGTGCTGAGTCCTGAGGGGATGCTGTGATCCTCAGGGAGATGCTGCGGTCTTAGGGGAATGCTGTGATCCTGAGGGAATGCCAAATCCTGGGCGGATGCTGAGCCATAGGAGAGAGAGCTCTGGTGTGGTGGGGGGATGCTGAGTCCTACTGGGGATGCTGTGGTCCTTGGGGAGATGTCATAGTCCTTAGGGGGTGCCGAGTGCTGATGGATATAGGTCTGGTCCTGGGGGGATGCAAGACACAGCACCCTAGGGGCTAGGACACCAGCTGGTTCCTCGTTTCATCTCTGGGACAAGGCTCCCAACCGCTGTCCCCGCAAACGCCTTTGCTTAACGACTCCTCTGTTGTGGGGCCAGAAGCTGCTGTTGTCTTTTCTCCTCAAGACAAAGGCGACTGGATTTTATCTCTGGGGAGAATCTGGCTTTTTTGAGATGCAGAAAGCCTCTGCCTCGGGGCAGGAAGGGATGAGGCTGGAGGTCCGAAAGGCATGAGGGTGCTGCTTCCCCCACCTGGCAGTGCCCCTCTGCCTGCTCCT